AGAGGTATACATAATTCTAGGTACCACGCACCAACTTTTTTTCTTCTTTTTATCAAACGATACTTTTTCAATTCCTTAAACAGCCGATCCGGCATCGCTGCGTCTCTATGGAGACGTTAACCCTATAAAACGTGAGGAAAGTCGCGGAGAGCGATAGCGGAAATCGGTTAGTCGGAAAATTCGCAAAGTGAAAGTGTTCGACCCTGGAGATGAACCGCCAAGCGAATGTTTGTATTTTTCCGCGGAGGTGAGCGGGTCATCACGGTGATAGTCGTTTATGTCGTCGCCTACCTGACATAAAGGCGTAACTACCCTCTGCAATGAACCCTGTCCTCCGTAAAATTCAATGCTTTTCCGGGCTCATCTCAATGTGTAGTTACGCCCTCATGTCAGCCAAGCGACTATGTAATCGGTGCATTTTTCCCGTAGGTCGAACTCAACGTTCGCGATAACGCGCAGGTCAAATTGGAAGCGTTACGGGTCATCAGGCGTCCCATCTTCGGGTCGCCAATCGGCCCGTTACGAACTTTTGCCTGCAGCAGGAAAAAGAGTTGTTTCCACAGGAAAATGGCTGGAGAAACTTTTTTTTCTTTTTTTTTTTTCTGTTGTTTAATGGTTTTTCTGACTAAGCACCTGCAGCCAACTTTAGACTAGTGTGTTTCTATCGGATGGAGGTTATATGAGATTAGGAACCGACTTTAAAGGTGTGAGAAGCAAAAAAGAAATAATAGAGACATGGGAAAAAAAGAGGGGTTGATAAAAAGGAGAGTTGAACTGGAGAAACTTGATGAGCGGCTCAGGGTCGGGAGCTCACCCTCTACCTCACAGTCTGCACACAGGGTTGTCACAGTCAGGGAAAACCGGGAAATGTCAGGGATGCTAAAAAGTCAGGGAGGACCGCGAAACGTCAGAGAAAATGACGAAAATGTTAGGGATAATTTGTTATCACCTTCATTTGTTCTCCAGAATGGATTTGAGGTTTCGAACAACAAATGCCTGAAAACTATTTCTAAGTATGCCTTCTTAACCATCCGTCACATCTTCAATTGAATTAGTGAGAACGAAAACACACCAACTCGAAAAAATGAAAATAATCAAGACACACACAAAACTGCATGTTAGGCGTTTAGCAAAAATCAGCGTAATTGAAAGGGAAAAAGTCTAAATTAAAATTTTGTACGGAAGCTCGGGAAAATGTAAGAATATGAAAATGAAGAAATAATTTTAATCTTGCATTTTGTTCGTTATCGGATGTAAGCTATAGAAAATGCTCGAACCGACATGTCGGACGTTCACCTTGATTTGTAAAATCTTTTTCTGGATGTAATCCAGTGCATTTGCATACGTAAATGCTCACTAAGCCTCCTCATGATTATTTAATTCCGTCTTACTTAGTAGTCTTTCATTCCATCTTATAGACAAAAATAAATTAGAGGGGTACGCAATAAACTTAAATGCAGAAGTGTGTCAAGTTCTTGGAAATGCGAGAAAAATCTAGAAAAATTAGTAAATTTTACTCATCCGTGAAGAATCAGGGAGAAGTCGGTAAATTTTGCCTCCAAACCTCGAATATTTTGTTTTGTGAAATTTTAACATGGCTATTGCGCCTGAAGTTTTTTTCCGAGGAGCTCTAAGTTCGCGCTAAACTTGTCTTGTGAAGTCCTTGTTATGCTCAATGTCTTCGAGATTTCAAAGAATAAACGGAAGGTTTTGTGCTCAGAAACTTTGCAAAGTCAGAAATGTGTTAACTCCCAGGGAATTTGTCACTCAGTGCACTCTGCAGCCAGAAAGTAACTTTTCTCAGGGCAGAATCATCGATTCCAACCGAATCTTCCGGAAAGATCACCTCTTTTGTTAATAGCTTGTACGTTTGGGATCCTTTCTACTTTGCCCGGAGAAAGATTAATGGAGATTTCACAGAGGAATCATACCAACTCAAAGGAGCTTTACGAAAAAAAGTTCCCAGCTTTTTGTTTCGAAATCCGTGCACTTGGCCAAGTGCAATGAAAAAGATGTGATTGAAAGTCGACTTTTCTGAACTCTTCATCATGAACTCGCGCTTCGCGGAAATGACTGTTCGCGTTTTATTTGTTCGGGGAATCCACGTGCACCTCGTGGAATAGTAAACCATTGAAAGTCATCATCAATGGAGGCATGTATTCAAACATGCTATCTCCACTTCGTGGCCACATTGAGTTAGGGACGGTATTTTGCTCTCCATATTGAAATACGTTTGCCGATATTGTTTTTTCGGTGCCAAGTTAGAAGTTTATGCTTTAAAAAAAATTAGGAAGATCGAGATGAGTATCAAAACCTCCGATCTCTAGCGACATCGTTTCTGATATTTGGATCGAAACCTGCGATCTCCATTTCAACCGATCAGATCATCTCCAATTTTATTTGAAGTCATGTTTCCTTCTTCGTTTGAGCAGTAGCAATGTGCAGCGATATGAGATTTTCTATAACAGTTTTACTTATCATGAGTACATGGCTGAAAACTGCAAATTTACAACCTAGACATAGCTTTATTTTGCCCAATACAGAAAGGAAAAAACTCGTATGGTTGGTTTTGTTATAGTTAATGAAAACTTTAAAAAGAAAATGGTGAGAAATTTTGAAAGTTAGTGAGAGAATAACAAAATATTCTGTTGTTCAAGTGAAGTTTCTCTTCGATTATGCTTGTTTTTATATTATTTCACTTATTCAATGTACCATTTCCACACATATTGATATTAATTACTGGACTAATAATTAAAGTAGGTCTTTTTCTTTTTCACTTTTTAATTAATTTCAATTTTTGATAAGCTTATTTGGGTTACATTTTACGTTTTATCTACGTTGATAAAACTAATTCCATTAATTCTGGTATGTAATAAAATTAGGATCAAAACGTGTATTGTCCATAAGTTTAGGATCAAAACCTGCATTCTCCAAAATTTGAAGGAACCTCACCGTGACATTTCCTTGAAACTTTCACCGTCGGTTTTTATCCCTCAGGAGCTAATCACAAGCCAACTTTCACGAAGAAGTAATGACAACTTACAAGCGCCACAGTTTTTTGCGGGTTGCCGAAAGTTGATCTAAATGAAGATTGCAGATTTTGATACCAGCTACGGGCTGATTGTTGAAATCGGTAGACAAAGCGATAGACAAAGAAGACAACAGGGATATTGAGGGATCTTATTGGTGGAAGCGGGTGATTGCAATGGACAAAGAAGATAGGTAATAGACTAACTAATGACAACCCACGGGAGACCCGATAATTAGTCCATCATTTTCTCCCTTAGTCTGTAGGAACCACCCATTTCAACCAATAGGATCGCTCTATACTCTCTATGCCTTCTCTGTCTATAGCTTTGTCTATCAATTTCAACATTCAGCCCGCTGGTGCCTCATTTAAGAAGCCAACTCAATTTTAACAGCCCCCTCATCCATAGATAAAAGACACATCACTGACAGTTCCTCATTCGAAGAGAGGATGGGCACTATGTCACTTCGATATCAGTCATCGTCAATCAGAATTTATCGAGAATCTGCGGTCAGGCTCTCGAGGCTTGCGCTTTTTATGATCCACCCGTTACAAAACCAGTTCCTCCGGCACTTTGGCAAAGTGAACTGATTTTTCTCGGCGGGTAGGAAATATTTTTATAATCCCGCAGGCTCGGAGTCTCCTCCGCAATCATCGGTTTTCTTTCGGTGATGATCTCGAATATATGAAATAATACACAAGACCATCAAGAATCGGATTTGCGTCAAGAAGTCTGACTCTGGATTGTGATTGGTATTCCCCTGAATCACACACCACTCGCATCTGCATCCGTAACTAGATCCGATCTCCGTCAATGATAAAACACAGCGCAGATCCTATTTCTCCGCGTATGAACATTCGTAAATAACAGCATATTTGCTCATGATTATACGGATCTTGAAAACTCGGAAAATTCCGGAATTTATCGGAGAATGAGAAGGTGCTGGAAAATATCAGCGGATGGGGCTCTTTGCATGTAGCAGGGATTCTCATGTCAAATTTTAACGCAGGTATCTCCACGCGACTTTCCTATCGAACTCGAGGATCCTCGCGCAGAGAAATTTAGCGGGCTAATTACTGGAATTGATAGACAAAGCTATAGACAAAGGAGACAAAATGTATATGGAGGGATCCTATTGGTGAAAGCGGACGGATGGAATGGACAAAGGAGGTAGGTAATAGAGAACCAACGGCACACTGGTAAAAAAAAAACCTCTTGGACCAATGCCGCGGTGCATTGACTTAAGAGTGCCGCTTCTTGTCGCCGGATTTAAGAGTCTTGAACTCTTGTTTCAAGCGGATTTTGCATTGATTCAAGCGGATTTTTCATTGAAACAAGAGTCCAGACTCTTAAATCCGGCGACAAGAAACTGCACTCTTGAACCAAGAGGTTTTTTTTTTACTAGTGCAAGTGTCAAGAGGCCCTCTGGTTTAGCCCATCATTTTCCCCCTTAGTTTGTAAAAGCTATTAGCGGACTGATTATTGAAATTGATAGACGAAGCGATAGACAAAGAAGACACAAGCTATTTGGAAGGATCCTATTGGTGGAAGAGGGTAGATGCAATAGACAAAGGAGGTAGGTAATAGACTAACTAACGGCAACCCACGAGAGACTCTACAGTTGGTCCATCATTTCAAACTTTAGTCTATTGAAACCAACTATTTCAAGCAATTGGAGCGCTCCATATTCCCCATTTCTTCTTTGTCTACAGCTTTGTCTATAAATTGCAACAATGAGCCCGCAGTTTCAACCGGTGGGATCGCTTCATACTCCTCGTGTCTTCTTTGTCTACAGCTTTGTCCATAAATTGCAACAATCAACCCGCAGTTTCAACTAGTAGGATGGCTTCATACCCCTCGTGTCTTCTTTGTCTATCGCTTTGTCTATCAAGTCCAATACTAACTAATAATGTAAGAGCCTGGACTATGAACTGATATCTAATTCGGCGTTTGGTTTGCTTTGTATTTCAGTTTCATCGAGGCGGACCGAGTCTCGGGCTTCTGGTCGTGGATGTTCGCGCTGTCGAAGCTCCCGGAGCTGGGCGACACCGTGTTCATCGTCCTGCGGAAGCAGCCGCTCATCTTCCTCCACTGGTACCACCACATCACGGTGCTCCTCTACACGTGGTACGCCTACAAGGAGTACACCTCCTCGGCCCGGTGGTTCATCGTCATGAACTACTGCGTCCACTCCCTCATGTACTCGTACTACGCCCTCCGGGCCATGAAGCTCTCGCCGCCCAAGGCCATGGCCATGCTCATCACCTCCATGCAGCTCGCCCAGATGGTCATCGGCTGCTGGGTCAACTACACCTCCTACCAGTTCATCCAGCAGGGCCAGTCCTGCCAGGTCTCCAACCTCAACATCCAGCTCTCCTTCGCCATGTACTTCAGCTACTTCGTCCTCTTCGCCAGGTTCTTCTACAAGGCCTACATCAGCCCTCGCAGCTCCAAGAAGTTCGGCGAGAAGTCCCCGGCCGTCCCCGGCGGTTTTACTAGTAACGACAATAAGGTCAAGGCTCACTAGTCCTCCCTTCCCTCCGCCATTGACTGCGTTGAACTCTCTTCGCGGGTAGGTTGCCATTTCCCATCGCTAGCGTCAGAGACCAAGAGACCCTCCATTGGCCTCTCAGCGACAGGGGGAAGCTTGCACTTTCGGGAATTCAACACTTCTTGATGGACGATTATGAGGCAGCGACAGTGTTATCCTGGCTACTAGGCGGATGATGAGCTCCGGTTGACGCCATGAATCAAACAAGTTTAACAAACTTCGGTTTGTTTGCTAAACGATGCACTCAACACGTTGTTGAGCGTCCACCTATTAGGTAGGTCAGTAGTTGAATGTTGAATTCCCGAAAGTGAAAGCTTTCACCATTGCCAGGGTACTAACGGAGGGTCTCTTGCCTTTGGGTAGTGTTGAAAGAGGTTATGTTATTGATCGCGTTGATTTCGATCCGAACAATAGCATAACCTCCTCCAATTCCCGTATTAGGAATAAATCGATACCAATCGATTTGCAATCCAAAAGTTGTTGTGGTTGAGTTCGAAGATCGTCGTGAAGACCGTTGGAAGACCTAGCTGCTGTATTACCGTGCTAAGGAAAAACGACGTATGAGCTTTCGATCGCTGCCAAATTTCCTTTGATGAAATGCGAATTTTCAAGAAATCTGCAAATCTTTTTCCCCCTAATGTTTCGGAAATGCTAGTCTGAATTCCTTCAAAAGCATCTGAATCTCACGGGAAATTATTTGCAAGATTCTTCAATAAATACATATTTGTTCGGAAGAAATTTGGCAACATATTGAGTGCTCATACGACGTTCTTCCTTACCCCAACAGTATGGCTTTTTACCTAAAATCTTCTATATCAATAACCGCTGTAAGCTCTGGTAGCCGGCCTGTTTCTTCTGTGAAGATTCAAAACTTAGGTTAGAGATGCAGAATGTAGCTTTTTTAAGTACCTACTGTCGTGACAATCCGAATACCCATGTTCAAAATTTTACAAAGACTCCCTGCGATCACCTGGATGGATTTTCTCAAGTGTTATAGGAATCATTTTTTTATGGATTATTAAGTTTTTTTTTTTAAAAAAAAGCTTTTTCTATATCTTTACTTTTGAACAGCATTGTCAACTTTTCGGTGAACGCTTATTTTTCCGGTAAACAATCCACGGAAGAATGCGAATAATGTGTTTGAATAAGCTACGCTGCTGTATGAAGTAATTTCTGCACCAATAACGTCAGGCCACGCTCGTGGTATCCATAATAAGACTCCTTCCTTCCGGTTATTTTTCTACGACAAATTTTATTTCATTCCCCGATGAGTGCGAAGGAATGAAATAAAATTTTAATTTAAGTTTTTATTTATTTGTCTATTTATAATCTCGTCGAGAAATTTTAAAAAAAAGTATTGTCCGGAAAAATCACTGTTTATAATTTTCCTTTATTTTTTTTTCTTTTCTGAAAGTTATTGTTTGCTCTTTTGAAGGAAAATTGCGTTTGTTAATTTTGTTTCGCGCCTCGTTTCTCAATGAACTGTTAGGAAATTTTAAGGATCCGTGATTGTTCTGGCTGTTAACGCTTTTTTTTTTCATTGAAAACAATGGTTGAGAAACTTTTTTTTAATTGAGAAGAAATATTCTCTCCGCTTTCAAAAAGGAAGGTTTTTGTCCTAAAGAAGTTCCCTTGGTTTGAGGAAAAAGATTATTTGATTCAATGACAACGCCTAAACTTATTTCTCCTGTTCAAATGAGGTTTTTTCGATTTGAACAAAATTTGATGTTTCATTGATGACAAGCACACTTTTTGGAACCAATTAAACCTTCTTTGAATCTTGTAAAAACTCAACATGTCAAAATATTCTTCCAACCGAAGATACTTCTTTAGAGCAAAAAGTTTTCATTCGGACGAAAGGGAATATTTTTTAAAATTGGTTAAGAAGGCGTGATTGGCACCGATGATTTCGACCAATACTGATGAGAAGTGTTCTCGTATCTAGTGGCGAGGCGTGATATTCGACTATCGATACTATCCCATTTGAAGCTATGGTGAAGAATCGATCATTATGGTGTTCGTTGCAAACGCCCTGATAATCGATATTTTTTCATAGGTTTGAATGGCGTACTAATCGAGCCATCGCCATTGCTTGCTTTGCGGAAACGTGCTTGACCGACTGATACCCAGTTTCAAGTGCCTCAGAATTTCCCTTTTGACGGAAAAGAAAGATTTTAGTTTTTACCTTTAACTCGCCGAGGCGCCGGAAAAATCCCGTGGAAAAGCCAGGGGTTTTCCCGCGGCGCCCGCGAATGTGTCTGCTAGTCGTGACCCCTGATTTCGCTCAAGAATTTCGAGAATGAACCGTGATATGCTTTCTTCTCAACGAAAATTCACCTATTGTTAACTGTAGTTTTGATTTTTCTGTTAGATTGTACGTGTTCCATGTATCGCCCTTTCGTAATTGTGATCCGCGGAAGTTTTTGACAGGAGTTTGTTCTATTAAAATGTATACAAATAATCGATATCTATAGAATCATCCAGAATCGATTCTTGATATGGATTTTAATGGAAGAAAAACACTAACACAAAATTCCGAGAATCACCTCTGCCTTCCCTCTCTCTCTCTGTTCCACTGTTACCAGATTCAAATCAGCATTATTTTCCATTGAACTCAATGTAAGATGTTCAGAGTTTTTCACATTACCTGGCAACACTGCTCTGTTCCCTGCGGCTTTGAGCCTCGCATAATCGGGAAGTGTCAAGGGGGAAGGCACACACAAATTCGCAAAAGATATCATTTTTGTCCAGCATCAAAAGATGAGAGAAGGTGACAACATAGATTTGTATTTTGTAATTGTTTAATATCACTTCCAAAAAATGGCACCTCCTCATGCTAATGGAAGTTAAATAATGATGGATTTTTGTTTTTTTTTTTCTGTGTCAAAGTAGGCCTGAGATTTTATTCCGGGAGAAAATAAACGAAAATAAAGAAATAATACTTAGCTAGTAAAGTGATAAATTTCACGACGAAACCCGCCCACGTTTGACCTTGGCCGCGACTAACAGGTCTTTCTCAACTGGATTTTTTTTCGAGTATCAGTACTGCCGTGCTGAGGAAAAACGCCGTATGAGCCTTCAGGCGTTGCCAAATTTTCTCAGACAAATCACTAATTTTCAGGCAAATTTGTGAATATTTTTCTTCAAATTTCTCAGATAATTTTGTTTGTAATTTGATCCGAAGTGTCTGAAAATTTCAAGGAACAATATGCATAATTTCCTAAAAAATAAACACTTTATCGGAGGAAATGTGGCAACTCTCGAATGTTTGTACGGCATGTTTCCTTAGCACGGCAGAGTAGAACAAGTTAGCACTAAGTGAAACTCGTTAAAAATGATTTTGAGGAATTTTTCACCTAGCGTAAAATTTTAAATTCTCACGCTCTCCAGGCAAAATATAAATCATGTAATTACATCTGCAATTTTAAACGAACGTAGTCTTATTTCATTGTAAGTCGCTTTTCCTGCCCATCACCTTTTATGATTGCGGAAAATAAAGCAACCATTCCATAAGGCTCATCTGAATTTTCTCGGCCTTCTCTAGGCAGGTCAAATGTGGGTCGAATCTATTGGGCATCATCAAGCCAATGCTTTCCTAGTTTGAAGAAACGCGTACCTACCGCTGGAAACTCCACGCAGTTACGCGTTGCTTCCGGAAAAGCCAATGATAATGGATCTCGTTCGCTTGATGACATCCAATTCTCACTCCTCGACTGTTTAAAAAAAATAGGTTAAAAAATCAGTGTAAGCTTTCCGTGTATTGTAAACTTTTTTCTATGTTTAATAATTTTATTTTTAGTATTTATTGTATGAGATGCACCCGATGTATCGAGCTATTTTCATAAAATGAGCGAAACTGAAAACGTAATTTTTGATTCGTGGATGAATTTTCATTTGAATCCTGATCGTGCCTGACCTTTAGTGTGTGCGCGTGTGTGTGAATGATGCATGAATGTGTTAATCTGTTAACCTCATTCCCCCTACCTTTTTTTTTTGTCTGTTTGTCTCGGCGTCCTCTGACTTACGTTCAAGTGACAAAGGCAACCAAAAGTGATAATATATTCGTAGATCATTTAATTTTTTTGTCTTTAAGATTTCTCTGACCGCTTCTTATCGACCTGGCGGACATCTATAAGCAAGCTGCAGTCTTCAAGATCCCGTTCTCTGAATTGACCACATTTTGCAATAAAGAAGTACTATTTCTAGCCCATCCATATAAATAAAGCACCTATTCATATAGAGAAACAATTGCACGTATGTTGTTTCCAAGATGAGCTAGAAACGGTGGTTCCTTATTTCAAAATGAAGCCCAAGTAATGCCTGTTTATTATAATACTGTTGCGCTTTTGGCCATCGGTTAATGGTATTTTAACTCTATTAATTCCGAAAAAGTTAGTTCGAGGGTTCTTGTATGCACCTCATAAGCAGATGTGCCGTCGGGTTCTTTCAATCTAGTGAAACCACGTAAAAACTATTGTAAGAGCATATACTTAATTGGTTTTTTATAGTAATTTACAAAGACTCAAAGTCAAAAAAAAATAGGAATAAAAAACTTGTAGAACGTATACCCACTGGTTTGTTTTTAATTAACCAATCGCAGTGTACGATTGTTCACTTTATGCCAGCGCGAGAAACTTACACAAAAACTAAGTATAAATATCCATGTTATCCATAATTCAAGGGTGACCTCTGTTAACATCCGCATTTAAGAAACTATAAGTTGACCGCGCCCGTCAAGCCTTCTAGAATCTTGCGTTTTCTACGCTCCTTTCCATAAACATTCAAATTTGTAATTCATCTTGTTTTTATTTCATTTTTTTAATTTATTTATTTATTTTTTTTTAATTTGAAGAGAATAAAGATCGTATTGTTTTTTAAATTAATACTCTTACTTATTTATCAGTATCATCATTCCCTTTTACCTTCCACCATGTAGGATCACAGACAAACGGCGGCCGATGTTAATGTCGCAGGCAATCGGTCAAATGGACCGCGTTAAACAGAAAGGAACCAAGCCACATCAGCCATTGCCGAATTTAATTGGGCAATTTAATTTTTAACATGATAACGATTGCGCGGATTTCCGTGCAAATTTCAGTGAAAAATCTCCATAGTTTGAAGAAAATTCCTCAAAAATATCAAAGGAATCCGCACAAACGTTCTCTCGTAAAAAAATTAATTGTCCGGTTAAATTTGGCAATAGATGATGTGGCTTGGTTCCTTTCTGTTAAAATCGGTCCAAATGAGGCGTTTTATCAAATCCCTAGGCGGCGCACAGTGGATCGAGTCAATCAGAGAGGTCGGACGTGAAATTTTCGACAAAAGAAACTGCAAATTTTGATGTTAAGTTTGTCTCATTTCAAATGTTGAGGGGTGTTTCTAAGTGAAAATTTCACGAGAAAACCAATGGAACCACTTTCAAAACCTCAAAGTTTTGTATGAACGGAGTTGTGAGTTTTCAAAGTTTCCAAATTTTGTCCGACCTCTCCGATCGATTCGGTCCACTGTGCGGTGGGTCTAATGTTGACGGTTCGCTAAATTTTGTAAATTTATTTGCGAAGAGGTCACGAGTTTTCAATGTCTTGGGACAAATAACTCATCAAATCCACTAACTCTTGTTTCTTCATCTTCGACTACCTTTTATAAATTTGAATGTAAACATTTTGAAAAGTTCCGTATTTTATTATCTGCAGAGAATTGCAAGATGAATGTCCGTTCAGGAGCTAAAATCGTTAAAAATAATTTTGTATCATGCACGTAATCACTGCGAGTTCTTCCTCACAAGAGCAATGAGTTATTCGGTCTAAAATTAAGAAAAGAATCAGAATTTTAATATTAGTAGGTAAAAATATTTGACCAGTTGCGTGTGCATTCGACACCATGCTTGATTATACTATTGTCCTGCTACATTAACGCGAACGTTAATTAATTGAATCAGCGGGATGGGAATGAAAATACCTACACAAACTCGGAAATATGAAAATGTCCAAGGGACTCAAGAAACTACGCTATAGGTAAAGTTGGATCAGGAAAAAGCTTTTTTGGTACCAAAGAACAATTAACTAATTTGAGATTTTTAAAGATTAAAGCTGACACACAGGTGCGCCATCTTCAATGGTTTTCATGAAAATTGGACATTTTGAATGAAATTTGGGCATTTTTAGTTTCCCGATTGGTGTATTTTCATATTCTAAGATTCAACTGGTACCCTGCCGTGCTACGGAAGAACGCCGTATGAACATTCGAGAGTTGCCTAATTTCCCTTGATAAAACATGTATTTTTGACGCAATTTAAGATTACGATTCCTTAAAATTTTCAGATATTTTGGATTGAGTTGCGTACAAAATTATCTGAAAAATTGGAAGGTAGATTTATAAATTGACCAGGAAATTCGCGTTTTATCCAAGGAAATGTGGCAACGCCTGGAGGTTCATACGGCGTTTTTCCTTTGCGCAGCATTACCCACGTTGCAAATTTAAGTACGTTTTTCTTTACTTTATAGTCGAACCAAATCGTCTCTCTCTACCAATTTAACGCCCCGAGGGCACCGTTCCAGAATTTTCCCTCCAACCGTCACGATTTCCCTACAGTTGAACCATGAGATTCCAAATTCCGCTGTACTTTTACCTGACCAAGAAAAAGTTAACCGTGGCCTTTGCGAATTGGATTGAATTTAGACATTTTTCTGGCTCATCGTAAAAGCACCAATGTAACTAGGAAAACTGATGGTACATACGTTGTCTCTAAACCGAGCCAGAAATTGTAGTTCCTAATTGCAAAATGTGGTTCAAATCTAGTTATAAAACCAGGTCCTGTTTGAAATTCAAACCGGGGTGGTCACTGGTCACCAAGATTGCCAAGTCATTCGACAATGTCTTCTTTTATGAAATGGCAAAGTTGGTAGGAAAGGTTTTATCGTGGGACGATATCAATCACCTTCCATATTTCGATTGCGGCGTTTCAAAATCTCCTGTCAAAAAAAAAAAAAAATAAAATAAACCCAATACAAGACTACCCATTTCATCTCATACAATCTTCAATACCATCCCTTTATATCCTACAGAATACTAACATAAATCCCTAGATCTACGCTTCTACCCTCTCATCCCAGTTATAAGTAAAATTACTTTCCATTGTCTCAGCTCCCCTCCAAGGGCCGCATTATCCCTTGGATATTAAGCCTGAAGAACAACTTGAAAAAAAAAAAAATCTCCTGTTACGTTGCATTTTTGTCTGTTTTTTTTTCATGGAGAACGAAGAATTTACCTCATTCCCTGAAACCCTCAAGGAACATTCTTCTTGTGGAAAAGAAAAATCACACAAGTATTTGAGGAACGATACCTATTAAATAGTTTTTTGCTGGAAAAATGAAGGTGACATGCAGGATGTCTGCAACACCGCGAAGCCAACCTTGATAAGTGATTTGGGAATAATTTTACCGTCAAACAGTAATATCATCCCTGGCCTAGCATCTAATTTCAATGTATTGAATAATTTATTAAAACATAAATTGTTTTATTCCGTGCATTGAATAAAATTGATGTTATAGGACCAGTTACTTCATTCCATTACTTAAAAGATTAAACATAGTAGGTACGTTAAAACAATGTATTAATTAATTACATATTTCAGAAGTCAAGCACCTAAGTAGGCACTGAAAATGAATAAATTCAATTAATAGTTTCATAAGTAAATGAAAATATTTATTTTTGATTCATGAGCATTCCGGAAC